GTGATCACCACGCCAATCTTCTTCCTCCACCAAATCCCACAGGCTGCTACTGGGTATGTAGACAAATACTTTAGCAAAGCCATTAAAAACCTGTGCTCCTGTATTTTGTGACAGTTTAATACTGTTCCAAGTTCAGGACCAGAGCCATCAGACACAACTACACAGCCCTTCCTGTGGGAATGCTATACTGAAATTCTCATGCAGACAGATGGTCCGTGATGAAATGCCACTATACATACACAGCCCATTGGGGGTTTCAATGTGCAGGCCTGTAGACGTGGTGGATAGGTTCTTCCAGAGAAATCTCCCTGTGCTGTTCTGTGTGCAAAACACAGTCACTGCCTGTTGTGTAGAAAGACTGGAAAAGTAATTAAGCATAGTTTGAGGAAGAACAGGAATACTAAGGATTTGTCTGGTTCTTTTGAATAGCTTGCTAATATACCAGAATGACATTGTGTGCCTTCTGTGGTCAAATAATAACCAAAAAAAAAAAAAAAAAAAGAAAAAAAGGAAAAGACAGCTGCGTCCCAAGGCAAACATGTGTGGTCAGGCGTGCTTGTACCACACACATTAGTGAGGGACTGAGACTCCCCTCACCTCTCAGCAGCTAAAGAGCTGACACATTAGCTTCAAGTCCTAAAACTGGAACCAGCTCACTGGAGCCTGCTGCTCTCCTGCAAAACTATAACAGAGAGAGACATCAAGGTTACAATCAGGAAGGACGCAGAAAATTAGGAAAAAATAGTTGCCATTTCTGTTGTTTTTCTTTTTCATATAAAATAGTTTAAGAATGACATCAGTCAATATGGAATGCAGATTAAAATATGATCAATTCCCACTCTTCCTGTCACACAGAAACTCAAAAATTCAGCTGACGGAGGTGTGGCACCATCAGTAACTGACTCAAAAAATCCTACTTCTTGCAACTTCAGGAATCATTTTCCACACAATATACACCTAATCATCTAATATCCATACCCTAGCTAAATCTGACTCCCCTTAGTTCATGACTGTACCCAGAGATGGATTTTCTCCTGACAGTTACTGTGGCCTACTTACCACCCCTTCTGTTAATATGTGAATTGGATGCTTTGCCTCCATTTCAAAAGGTTTTATTCTCATGTGCAGGACATTTTTTTTTTTAATTTGGTTTGGTTGCTAAGGAGGAAGCTTTAGCAGGGTAGGCAAGGATTTAGTCATATGTGAGCCACAGGGAACATTATCCTTAGAGATTAATTTGGAAATCAAGTGACAATTGGCAGGGTATGTGTTTACTTTCTATTTTTTGAAAGCTTTACAAGAACCACAGGATTTCTGCATCCTCTGAAGGAGATCTATTCTTCTGCGACATTAATAAACGACAGAGACAACAAAGAGAGTATCACACTTGTCTCAAGTGTCATAGATAAAATTAGCAATTTCACTGCAAATCAGAAAGCAAACTAGATTATTAGGAACAGCTCTACACTAATCAAAAGGGTGTCTCACAACCACCTTTCAGATATACTGAAGGCAGCTGCCTCACTGTGAAGTTAATTCAATGAGCACAGCAAATGTAATTCATTTGGCATATATTGTTTGCTAATCAAAGAGCATTTCTTGGCATCTAAACTGCGTGTGTGACAGAATGTTAAGCCTGGAAACACATTGATAGTCCTCAAAGTTTTTAATCAAATCCAAGAAACATAATGTGCACACATGCAAGCAATTCTCCTCATTCAAGTAGTGAAGGTGAAATCTGTATTACCAAGTGTTGTTACACTGAACTGTGGTCCTAGGAAGATCTTACAAGAAATAGCTTTGCCCTCACGTACTTGTGCAGGACAGAAAGCTTCAAAACTTTTAATTTTTCCTTCTTTCTAATTACCATACCACAGAATACTACCTGTTATGACAGCAAACCCTGTGAGCAAACATTATCAGTAGAAAACTCCTGATATATCTTCACTGAATTGAGTCTTAGGAGCATGAAAATGTTTTGGTTTTTGTTTTTTTTTTTTTTTTTTTAATTGAGGTTATTTTGGGCCTCATAGCTTGCATACCTGAGCTCTAGGGAACAGGCTAAGGAATAACATCTCTACCCATTCTGAAATATATTGCCTTGGAAGGCTGCTCTACTGCAGGGTGAGTATGGACCTCCACCACCACAGGCAATCATGATGAAAAGCCATTAAACCAACCATCTTGGCTAAGAAGAATATTTCACTGTGTTCTTTCCCAAAGAAAGCTGCAAAACAGCAGAATGGAGTCCGGATGGGATTGCTGTATGGAGTCTGCTCACAGATTCCCTATCCAATGGATGCTGTGACTGAGGGAAACCATGCTCTCCCGCTAAGGCAGCCACTGCTCTTCAAATCATAAACAATTTCATTATTAAAAAACAACTTCAGAGATCACAACCTGGTATGTTTCATTGCATCTGAGACGATCTACACTTTGCCCTATTTTCAAAAGAAAGTCAATATGTAAAAGGCCACTGTGCAGGTAGAGAAACAAAACAAAACAAATTACTATATGTTTTATTCAAAATGCAAAAGGAACATTTCTTAAATGTAATACTTAATTTAGGAAAAAAACCCAAACCAAACCAGACAACAAACCCCACACCAGAATTATTTGAAAAATTCAACCTTATTCATTTGAATTCAGAAATTTTAAAATTCAATGAGAGGGAAGAACCCCATCCAAGTATGGTTACAAAACTGCTTCCAAAAGCAAGATAACTACATTCTTAATGTAAGGCTCTTCACCAGCATTTCTCAAAAAGGAGAAAACAGTATAATGTATAAGCCTATGCAGTAACTGGCAACAAAAGCATATATGTTATCTACCTGAACACAAAGATGGGATTTGGTCTGGCTATTTATTTTGAAAAGAACAAAATAATATTTTTACTGAGTGATGGTTCACAGTGACAAACACTGCACAGCTGGAACGTATGCCTTGTTACCTTTGGTGTGGATTACATATTTTTAAGCTACTGAAACATTAAGGCAGGGTAGACTGAAGACAACTGTGCAAATTCTACTGTGTAAATTGTACTTCATCTTTTAATTGCTTGCCTATTTATTTTTAACAGAATCTTCATAAAATGAGGAGCACTTCTGAATATATTTGATGTTTACTTTTAGAGCAGTTAACTCAAAATACAGGCTCAGTTTCTATCAACATTATCATAAATTTCAAACCTGTTTCTTCCTACAGTCCATTTTTGTATTAAAATAAACATTAAAAATGAGATGCCATACTTGGAAGACTAAATATTGGCTTTGGAGCTTATTTTGAAGGTCTATTTCTCTCATAAGGACTAAAAGAATTATACAAAAAAAGAAAACAACTTTTCATGTAGAAAAGTGACTACACATTTGGGGATCATGTGAAAAATCTCAGTTAAAATCTGGCAAAACAACACTTCCAGGTTTTTCAGCCCAATTACTTATTGGCTTTTGAAGGTAGTTACAATTTCAAGATTTGCTGTTGGGAAAGGCACACAAAGAGTTCAATGGCTCTGGATATTCAAAACTCCGTGAAACATTTTCAGCATCTATTTCAAGTCTTTGCTTTACAAACAGCTTCTAAAAAGCACATTATAAGCCAAAGATGAAGAAAATGAGGTTTGATGGCTATTTTATTGATAAACAAGCTTCCTGATTGTCCTATTTCATGTTCTAAAGAACACTCAGGAAGATGTTTACCAGAGTAAAAAGTTCCCTAACAACATGGTGTTATGAGTAAAATCCATCAACAAAGCAGTGTTTTAGTACAGAGAACTGCTCTTCAGACTCAGGAGAGAGGAGACTCCCCAGCCTGATGGAGCCCCTAAAGCACAGATGAAGGATATACCAACAGCTGCAACTGCAGTCACACAAGTGCTTCTAAATCACATTTCACTGCCTGTAAAACCTTCCATGTCAGTGTTTTACCACATCAGGTGAGGTTTTTACCTATTTTTTCCAGTCAAGAGCTGCTTTGGAAAGCTGCGGTAAAAACAGCTCAACCTTTCCCAAATATGAGGCATGTTTTCTTTGCAGACACTGCATTTTTCATACAAGGGGATAAGCTCCCAAGAGACCTTCCTGTCACAGGCACATCCCTGAAGAGAGCAAAACATTAGCAGGCCACTGACCCTCATTGTAATTTTTTTTTACACTCTGCAACCCTTCTTTATTTTTAAGGAGAAAAAGAAAATAGCTCTTGCATCTTGGCATTAAATTTCAGTTTTCCTACCAAGTTGTCAAGAACATAGTCACATATATATGCCTTTAAGCTCAAAACTGGCTGTGATTTATCAAAGTCAGAATGGTATAAATAATGCATGTCTTGTACAGGTGGCTTTTTTTGTTATATAACAACTAATGGCCTGTCAACAAACTATTCCATATACAGAAGCTATATGATGGTCTGCCATCTCTTTCCTGTGTGGTAAATGAAGAAAGACTTTAAGGAGTCAAATTCTCTCTAATGGTGTCCTGCTGTCTTTGATACAATGTGTGATGGTACAGAGACAGAGAAACCGTGCATCTTTGTGTAATGGCAAATCCCGCAGCATCAGGCTTTACTGATGAGCCAGGACAAATTTTTTTCTAATCCAATATCTGAATCCTGATGCACAAACAAAAAATTATCTAGATCATACAGATAGATTTGTCTAGATCATATAGATAAGATTTTCCAGTAGACATGATATTCAGTGCTTATGGTAAGAAACCACATTTGGAAAACAAAGCAAATAAGCAAAACCTGCATTCAGAAAAAAGAGATGGTTAAGCCAATCCTCCAATATCTCATTATGCTTCAGTGGCAGATTTTCTTTCAAGATGCAAAAACTTGTCCTTCAATATGTTTCTCTTTAAATATTTTAGCATTATGCCAAGTTCTGACTAGCCCACAGTAGCATGGAAGAAATGCATCTGCTAGAGTGCCTTTAAAAGGAATTGGAAGAAGAGCACTACCAACACACATTCAGCACAGTCAGCACACCTTACCAGCCACAAACTCACCTTTCTGTGATCGTTTCTCTGAGACCACTTGCAACCCCTTTCACCACCGTACTAGCCTTTGGTGTCAGCACTACTTGAGATACGAAAAAGGAGCCTTTCTTTCTTCTTTCAGTGATTGATGCCTGCAGGAACTGAATCAACTTTTCCGTATCTGTTGTGTTTGCCCAGGGAGCTGGCATCATCTGGCCTGGCCACAGAAAGGCCACTTCGACAGCCACTGGACTGTGGTAGAACACTAGCACTTGGTGCTCCTTTTCCCACAGGTACTGGAGGCTGACTTCATGGGCAAATATAGCAGGACACATTTTGTTTCCGTATGTGTCCCTGAGCATCTGGACAAGCTTTTCATGATGGCATTTCTGCATCCCGTAGAAATGATTGAAGTCCAAGAAGACCACTTCTTTTGGGTGCTCAGTGAGAAATGCGTTGATCTCCTCCAGACCTTCCTTGACTTTGGCACTGAATAAACCATGGGCAAAGTAGAGTTCATTGTCTGGGTCTCTGGGCTTGGTGGAAATTCTGAGATCAAAATACCGTATACCTGCCCCCAGCTGGCTGGTGAAGTTCATGGTCTGTGTAGCTAGCCACTTCCTCATCAGCTTTTTAGCCACAGTCCCAAAAACTGACACAAAATTCTGGACTGTCTCCGGCTGTTCAGGCCCAACTGGAGAGGCTTCATCAATGTAGAAGCTAAAAGAGTCATGAGACCCTAAAATACAAGAGAGAAAAATTATAAAAAATATATTAAAAGCCTTTAGTGGGTTTTTCTCAATGAAAATAATTTTCTGACCTGTACCAACACGCACCAACTAACCCCCACACCCTTTCCCTCAACATCAGTACATTTGTCTGGCAGCATTTGCCCCAACAACACTTTGTAGGAGCTTGAAAGAAAGTCTGTTTCACTGCTTGTCTGGATGCTCAGTCACTCTCTTCCAGCTCTTACTCATGCCTTTAGGCTCAATGAACCCAGTGGTCTCTGAAGATCTCAAAGCAATTCTGGTAGCAAAGCAAAACAAATCCCTTGAGCCAAGGAGGAGAGTTTGGCCCTGCACACTGAATTGTACACTGTTTAGTCTGTAGAACCAAAGGATTGTGCACTGTTTAGTCTGTAGAACCAAAGGAAAAAACCAAAACAAACCAATATCCTTCCACACATGCCTTTATAGCCAGATAAAATAGGAGTGGGGAAAATGTCAAGGAACATAAGTATTTTATGTTCTATCTTAAATCAAGTCTCATCTGGTCATACACAAAGTTACTAAATGGTTTTCCTTCTTAAATTTACTTCTAAAATTCATTACTTTCTTTTGCTAAATAAGTACAAGACGTAGAGCCAAGAATAGCATTGCATTCCACTAATAAAATTCAGAAACTCAGACAAAAGCCAAATGAACAATGCTCAGCATTCAGACATCGACAGGAAAGCAGTTATATGGAGTTATAAGCTGACCCTAGGAGATGCTTATCATCTTTGTCAACCATTACCCTGCTGAACACCTGGTGTTTGCACCTGGCAGTTTACACAGAAACACTGTCCAGCTGCGAGCAGAGCCACACTCCTGGCATTCCAGCCATAGATTCTGGTCAGACTCACAGCAGCAAGCAGGTCTGCTGCTCAGCCTGAGACACACTGCTTGCAAAACTCCTTCAAAGTCAGCAGGACTTGTATTCTGGAAATGGACTGTGGTACTAGGTGCTCAGAGATCCAAATCCTACATCAAAATGAGTTCATAGCACTGGTCTTGTCTGTCACCAATGCTTTTGCAGGTGCTTTTCAAAATTGCTTTCCAAAGCATGCATGCTGTAGCAAGTAAATATCACATTAATGAAATTCTGCCAGTCAGTCATTTCTGAGAGTGATGCTACTTTAACTGAACTGGGATAAACCCTATAAACCAAAACAGCAGCTATAACATTATCTTCTTTAACAACAAATGGAGTCATGACAAATCATCCTAGACTCTGGCTTGGATTTGGCTTTGTTTAATCTGAGAAATGTCTTTAAATTTTGTACACACCTGCTTCTCCTGGTTGTCTCTTTGAACTGCATTTTGCTTTAAATATTAAATAACTTTTCCATTTTGATGAAGCTTTCTACTGCTAGGTGTTGAAGTGATAATGTATTTCTTGCAGTACCTGATTAGATCACGCAGTATCTGGTTACACATTGATATCCTTGGGGACTAGATCTGCATACAGAATTCTAATGGTAAAACAAATTATTAGAGCAATGACCTGTGTACCAACAGTATTACAGGAAAAATCAATGAGATGCATTAAATGTTCTGCTCAGTGTAACCTGCGATAATCTAGAAATCAAAGTAAATCCAGTCTTGTTTAAAACAAGGCACAGCTACTGATATTAGGAAGGGATGGATTTTGCAAACCCCCCCTTTGTCCATTGAAGCCCATTTTATTTTTGTAGAGTTTTATGCCAGATTAAGTACCTGTGTAAACCTGATCAACTGCTTAGAGCAGTAGGTTCAAAATGGTATTAAGACTAATTAAACCATTTGTCTTTTATCTTCTGATCTGCAGACATGGGCAACTGAAGTTACAGAAAACGCAGTAGCTAAAGTTGACCCCGGCACTGCCAGTAGGCACATATTGGTTTAAAATGCTTCTTAAAACTACTTTAGTCAAGAAAGGCAGCACAATTTTCACAGCAGAGAAAACTAAGGTGAACAACCTGTCTACAGGTACCTTTTAGGTACTGGTGATGAAAAACACAGAGAAGTGTGTGTGTGTGTGTGTGTGATACCTGAACACTGCAAGCAGGACAAGTCAGAAAAATATTTTTTCCTCGCTAAAGCCTTTGTGCACATATTTGAGCCTAAAAATAGATATTTCTATGTGGATGGTAATGAGAAAACCGCACAGTGCTAGGTGAATTTTCACGTTTTGTAACCCAAACAAGGAAGCCCTACAGCATAATACAAAAAGGAAATAAGGCTTAAGTTGGTTGACACAAAATGAAGCAGAGGTCAGCTGTTCAAAAGTATGTAAACATTCCTCCTGAACAAAAAATACAAATATTTTGTCTTTCCATATGTATAACTACTTGAAACAGGTCAATTAAATATTAATTTTCATCATGCACTCATCTACATTTCCTTTTGCCTTAATCATGCCTTGTTGTCTCAGATAGCTTACTTGTGAAACTCACAGAAATTCAAAATCCTTACACTTAGCAGAGCAAATTAGGGTATGATCTTTTCCACTGTCATGCCCAAAATCATTATATTCCTGGTAATGAGGGAATCCTGTCAAAACATGCTTTTGGCAACCATGTTTCCTTCCAACTCTTTCTTTTGTGCACAGGGACATTCCCCTCCTACATTTTCACTGGAAAGTGTTTTTGCAGGTTCTCTCTATCACCAAACTTCACCCTCCATGAAGAGAGGACACAAGTTACATTTAGGAACACAAATGCAATGATGCCTGCAATCTTTGGAAGGTGGCAGACCTTGCACATCATCTATCTCTGTTATGGCAGGTCTGTACCACAGAGACTTCACAGTCTGAGACCTGGAGAAGCAAAGAGGGCAAATTACTCATCCCAAGTTATTCAGGGAGCAAAAGATGATTTTCCTCTTGTGTGCACACATATTTTCTCACCAGTTTACTTAGTGTCTAAAATTTTCTTAAAATATTGCACACTGTTTTCCCACTATTTCAACAACCCAACATATCCAAGAAGTCAAGGATGAAGGCTCATGGATCAGCATGATGGGGACAGCAAACGAGGGGTTAACGTGTGCACATACTATAGACTGGCCAGTCAAGAAAAGAAAGTGGATGAAGCCTTTAAACAACTGGAAGAAACTTCATAATTACATGTTTTCATGGAGGAATTTTGAGACATTTGCTGGCAGAGCAGAACAGCAGAGTGAAGGAAATTCGGAGAGCATCAGAGACTTATTTTTTCTGCAGATACTCCTTTTAGTAGTGAAGTTGCACTGCTGGATGTTGTATGAATTAAGGAAGAAATTGATAGGGACATAAAGGCTGATGACAACCTTAGACTGAGTGACTACGAGGAGAAATAAGAATTTGAAATACTCAGGAAAGCAATGAAGGCAAAAAGCAGAGTAAAGATCCTGGATTTCAGAACAACTGTCTTGGCTTGTTCAGGAAATTGGTAAGTGGTAGCCTGGAAGAACTCAATTATCTTAAATGCCAAGAGACTCAGCAGAAAGGGCTGAACTTGAAAAGCAACTTCTCTAAAGCATATGAATAGAGTGTGAAGAAACAAGGAGGTAAGGCAGGAGGCAAGTTTGTCTGAAGGAGTAACTTCTGAGTGGCATCAAACTTAAGAAGCCACTACAGAAGGTTTTAGCAAGGACAGATTGCCAGGGAGGAACAGAGGACAAAGGCACAGAGGGAGTTAGGAAGAGCACAGCTGGGAAGGGAAACCTGCAAGGGATGGGAAAGGCAACAGACAGCTTCTGCTGATTTATCAACAACAAAAAAATGCACAGAGAAAACTGGTCCACTACAGAACAGGGCAGGAGACCTGAAGGATGGGATGCCATCCAGAGGGACCTGGACAAGTTTGAGAAGTAACCCATGAGAATATAATGAGGTTTAACAAGGCCAAGTGCTGGTGCTGCACCTGGGCTGGGACAACCCTGGTGCCAGCACAGGCTGGGCATGAACAGCCCCAGAGCAGCCCTGCCCAGAAGGGCTTGGGGGTGCTGTGGGTGAGAGGCTGCACATGGCCCAGCCATGGCACTCACAGCCCAGAGAGCCAAACGTGTCCTGGGCTGCATCCAGAGCCCCGTGGGCAGCAGGGCAGGGAGGGGATTCTGCCCCTCTGCTCTGCTCTGCTGAGACCCACCTGGAGCACTGCATCCAGCCCTGGGCTCCCAGCACAGGAGGGACTGGGACCTGCTGGAGTGAGTCCAGAGCAGCGCCTTTGATCATAAAGATGATGAAAGGGCTTCTCCTCTGAGGACAGGTTGAGAAAGCTGGGGTTGTTAAGCTTGGAAAACAAGAAGCTGCTGAATAGCAGCTTTCCAGTACCTAAAGGGGTCTTATTTAGAAGAGAGGAAGTTTTCAAATGGACAGCCATAGAACTAGGAAGAACAGTTTTAAATTAAAGAGGAGAAATTTAGATTAGATGTCAAGAAGAGAGCAGTGTTACTCAGAGGGCAGTGGGGCACTGCATCAGGTTGCCCAAGGAAGTTGTGGATACCCCATCCCTGGAAGCGTTCAAGGCCAAGTGCTGGATAGCATTTGTAATCTGGTCTAGTGAAACATGTACCTGACCTCAGCAAAGAGGTTGGAACAAATGATCTTTAAGATTCTTTCCAACTCAAACCATTCCATTATTCCATAAGAAATTATCAAGAGACACTTAAAGTGTCTATGCCAGCCATGACTCAAAGAACAGAAGTGGTCTGTTTCAACCACTGAGACACTAAATTTTCATAAACTGGATATTAAAGAATAAATTGTGCAGTATCACTTAGATTGCTAGAAATTCCCTGCTAGTATTTTTACTAGGGAGAACTGTCTACTGTTTTCTTTCCTGGATTCCTGTAATAGGGCAATTGGGAATATTTAACCTACTACCACTCACTATGGACATATTTATGGTTTCCCTGGAGGGCTAACCCCCTCATTTAAAAAGTAATTGGGCTTCGTGCTGAAAGAAGTCCCTAAGGGAGAGTACATTTTAGTTCAGAATTGTTTCTTCAGTCC